TATAAAGCTACAGTCTGCTTTGTTCAAGTTTGCCTCCAACTTTGACTTTCTACCTATCAGGATGCATTGAAACAAAAGTCGTGAACAAAGCAGACTCGGTAGTTGCAATATATCTTGGTGGTAGAAATGAGGCTGGAGATCTCCAGACAAAATTGGGCAAGACTGACAGCCTATTCAAAGGGATCGATTCAATGGCAGTTAAGTTTTGTTTTGTTTTATTTATCTGTCTGTTTTTGAGTAAAGATCTATTCATTGGAAATACTTTTTTTCCAACAACATACACATACATATTCGCATCACCAGATGGAATTGACATCACTATAAGACTCAAGTCAACTACATCTATGGGAAAACCAAGAAGGAACTCAGCATGCTCAGCCAGAACACGGTCAGAGGCCAGTTGCATATCCACTGCTTATGCGTAAGCTCCAGTGGAAGCTGAAGAAAATGAAAACAGGTCCACAGGAGACATCGTGCAACACAGAATATTAAAGATCACTTCAAGAGTGGGTTTTAGGAAGGACTAGATATCAGATGACATCAAAGACATCATCCATGAAAAAAACAGAACATCATCAGGAATGCAAGAAAGAAAGAAAATAGCAAAATGGATGTCAGAAGAAACTCTAAAACTCACTGTTGATTACAGGGTAGCTAAACATAATGGAAGAGATGATGACATCGAAGGGCTGAATAGAAAATGTTGATGGATGGTTCCAGAAGTCACAGTACTTTAGTGAAGTGTGCAAAGAACTAGAGGTAGAAAAGCAAAATGGAACACACTCTAGATTTCACAAGGTGAAAAAATGGAACAAAAAATTCAAGTCAGGAGTTGAGCTATTGAAGGATGCTACGTGCAGAGAATTTAATGACACAGGACACAGCAAGATGACATATCAGGAACACACAATGACTTGACTAAAAAGAATTGGTCAATGTCGGACCATTTCATAAGGTAGCAGACGATCCAGGAGGAAGAAGGACAGCTGCGTTGAAGGTCCTGATTAAAAACAAGACTCCAGCAAGTGACAGAATACTAACTGAGATGTTTCCACAAAATGATGAAATGCCGGAAGTGCTCATTCAGGATGTCGAGAAATGTGGACGCCACTTGGCCAACCGACTGGAAGAGATTGATATTTGTGCCGTCTCAAATAAACTAATTCAACAGAATGGGGAAGTTATAAAACAATACCATTAACATCACACACAAGTAAAATGTTGCTGAAGATAATTTTAGAATGGTTACAGTGGTACATTAACAGGGAACTTGCCAGATAGTCGAGCCACGTTCAGAAGAGGATGCGCATTGAGGGATGTGATTACTGCAGAGAGATGGACATTGGCTGAAAGCAGAGAATACCAGAGAGATACTTAACATATGTTTTATCTACCTACCTGGATCCTAGCAAACAATGAACTGCAGATAACATTGTGAAGAATAAGAATTCCAGAGTGTTTCCCTCTGCTCATTCAGAATGGCTACTTCGACTAAAATACACTCATTAGAACTGAACAAGAGGACACTGGATGGCTGACGGTTTTGAAAAGGAACGTGTCGGGTGTATCCTTGCGCCATACTCACTCAGTCTGTACCCTGAACAAATAGTCCGAGAAGGTGTATTGTGAAGAGCATGGCATAGGATGGAAAGAAAACTCATTAGCAACCTGAACTATGCAGATGACACAACCCTGCTTGCCGAAAACCAAGAGGACTTGAAGCACCTACTGAAGACGACCGGAGACTGTGGTCTTCAGCAGGGATGGTGCCTCAGCATTAAGAAAACAAAAACTCTTACAGCTATGCCAATAAGCAACAGCATAATCAAAGAAGACAAGATGAACATCGTCAAGAATTTCATTTCACTCCAGCATGTAATCAATGGCCAGGGAAGCAGCGGGCCTGAAATAAATGATGTGCTGAATTGGGCAAATTTGCCGCAAAGACCTCCACCTTAAACTATTAAGGAGCAAAGGTCCCACGTAGAGAACTGAGGTGTGCCTGACCGAAGCACAGGTATTTTCAATCACTTAATATGCATGTGACTAGATAATAAGGAAGACCGAAGAATGATTGATGTTTTTGAAGTATGCTGCTGACAACGAATATTAAATACACCACGGACTTGAGAGGAACAGACAGATCTGTCTCGGAAGAAGTACACTCAGGCACTCCTTAGACAAGGGGACAGCAGACTGCGTTTCACATCCTTTGGATATGTTCTCAGGAAAAAACAGTCCCTGGCTCTTCATACCCCGGGCAATGAAGAGTCAGTAAAAAAGAGGAGATATTCAATAAGATGACTGACATAGTCCCTCAATAATAGCTCAAACATAGGACATAAAGTCATGATGAGTCAGAACTGAGTTGATTAGGAGTTGAGCTGCTAAGCACAAAGTCAGTAGTTCAAAACTACCAGCTGCTCCAAGGAGAAAAATGAGCCTTTCTGCTCCCATGAAGACTGTAGAGACTCGGAAACCCACAGGGCCAATTCTGTTTTGTACCATGGGGTCCATAGGCGTCAGAGCTGATTCAGCGACAGTAAAAATGAAAGAACATCATCAACGAAAGTTCTAGATGCTGTTTGCTCCTGCAAAGAAATTACCTGGTCCTTTTCAGTAATTACCTGTTAGCTTTTAAAAAATCTGATTCTGTGCACTGAGTTGAATATTGTGCTTTAGCATAATTAAAATCATGAAACTATTCAAAATCAGAACGAGAAATAAATTCAGAAATATACCTGCACATTTAAGTCACATGTATCCATGGTAACTTGGGTGGTGAAGGGGAAGGCTCTATAAGAGGGAGAGATCGGCAAAAAATAATGGAACCAGGGAAGACACTGAGAGCAGTGCCAAAGTTGAAGGCAACAGAAATGAATACTGTCATCTACACACCCCACAGCAACAGTGATCTATGAGGTGGTGCATAGAGAACCACATAGGCTGGCTGAGTGTGGAAGGGAGAGGGAGCGTATAGCCACAAGTATACATAGGTTTAACATATGGCATCTGTGCAGGGTGTTTACACTTGCTGCAAATACATCCATTAATATGGGGGAGCACACAGGGGGCAAAGTTATTAAAACAGACTTAACGAGACACTTTGAGGGAGTGAGTCACACACTCTGGGGACTCAGAGCCGTAGTCTAGGGGCACAGCATTGTCTGCAAAGACAGTGCTCTACAACCCTACTTTGGTGATAGCAACTGGGGTCTTATAAGCTCCTCAGGAGTGGCCATCTAAGGTGCACTATTGGGTTCTCCTTTCTGGAGGAAAGAAGCCGGAAGCACGTTGAAGTCACATGGAAACAATTAGTCCAATGGCCCTGCGAGCTTCCGTTTCCGTGCGCCTGAGACCAGAAGAACTAGACTGTGCACTGCGACTATGACGAACTTCTTCAAAAGGAAATCACATTGGAAGGCCTTAGAGAAAGTCGGAGACAAACAGGGAACAAAACTCAACTCAACCTTATAAAAGAGACCAGTCTTAGCAATCAGGTGCAGATTAGTGGGACGCCCAAGACGATGACCCTTGGTCATCTTTCAGGCCTGGGACTGAACTCACCCCCAGTGATCAATTTTCAGTCAAGTAATAGGTCTGTAAGGAGCACAACACTAGTGAGGTGTCCACAGCTTAGAATCTTAATCATTTGGGATCAAACGGCAGGCTTTAGCCCTTTGACAAAGTTCAGAAGGGTTAGGAAAGGAGGAATACAGACTGGTAACTCAAGGAGTAATGGGGGAAGTTGAAGAGATTGCAACCAATGAGATTGAACAAAGTGCATATGAGCTGTTGAATATGAAATCAATGATTTGCTCTGTAAACCTTCACCCAAATCACAATAAAAGGTTTTGAATAATAATACATAAAATTTGTGATGGAAATTCTGGGAAAGATGTTTTCAGTGGGTATATTAATTTTGTTTTCTGCTTTATAGTACTGGAAGTATATCTCTAGTGACCTGGAATTCAGTGTTTCTTAGTGTGACAGGAGAAAAGTTTCTAATTTTATGTGAACAGAATTTGCAATTAATCTTGCAGTTAAAAACCACTTGTAAAATCCATTTATAACATGAAAAAATAGCTCTTCAAAAGCATCCATAGCTACTAATTAAATTTCACGATGCAGATAAGGTCTCTGGCATATTTATCTCAAGCATATTTTGACATAAATATATTTTAAATATATGCAAATATATAATATACTTAATTATCTATACTTTGTAATCTTAGGAGAAAAGTTAAAATGCCTTTACTTTGAACACTAACCTCCTTTCTTCCATAACCTTAAATTTATCTTAAAATAACTTACTAATAATTCACTGATAATTATATAATAATGGCTAATAATTTTCTAAAATATGTTTATTTTTGAAATATTATAACTGCTTTTTTTAATTGTAACATCCATAATGACAAATGAGTGTTTTGATTTAAAATATAATAAGCTAACTGGGTTTTCCTTTGCCAAAAGTTTCAGACCCAGAGTTTGCGTTTGTCAGAGCTACACAAAAAATCACATCTTTGGAGAGGAATAGTCAGTATCACCTTGATTGAGGGACGAGGCCTCAAGGCAATGGATTCAAATGGGTTGAGTGACCCCTACGTGAAGTTCCGGCTTGGGCATCAGAAATACAAGAGCAAGGTACCATATCGCTATTGCAATGTTGTCAGTGCTTAGAAAGCTGTGATAAGTTACAAGTCATATTTTGAGAGATGATACTAGATACTTTTAAAAACACTGAATAGAATGTCTTTTAAATACTCATCTTGGCTAACAATACTAATAGTTGCAGTGCATTTCTCCTTTTATAACAAGCCCTGGTGGCGTAGTGATTACATGTTGTGCTGCTATCCACAAGGTCAGTAGTTCGAAACCAGCTGTCGCTCCACAGGAGAAAGATGGGGCTTTCTACTCCTATAAAGAGCTACAGTTTGGAAATTCACAGAGGCAGTTCTACTCTGCCCTACGGAGTCGCTGAGTCGTCATCAACTCAATGGCAGTCGGTTGAGTCTACTTTATGTAACCATGAGTAAACTACTTAACTTCTCTGTCTCCGTTTCGTCAAACGTGTATATAAAACAGGAATAATACTAGTACCTAGCTCTTAGTAGTGCTGTAAAACTTTAGAAAACAAAAGCAAAATATAATCTGGGAAGAACTTAGGTTATGCCTTGCACAGAGAGTGCTCAAAAGTATTGACTCTTATGACTAGTTGTAATATCAGAATTGCAAATAGCATCACTTTTCAAGCCAAAAGATTTATGCCTTTTTTATACACTAACTAATGTGCATCAATGCTGACTTCAATGTGGTTTTATTTATTATTATTCGAAAATCCAGCTATGGACCTATGTTTCTTGTTGCTCCCTTTCATGATCTATTGCTGATTAATTTCATATTTTGAATCTTAAAGATTTCGATTTATTTGTATTACCCTTGCATATATCACTCTGAAGCTCTTTATAGCTGAAGATCTGTCTGTCATGCATTAAAGTGAGAAAAGGACTCTAAATGGTCCTGTGTGAAAAACAAAGGCCAGAGGATACAGTAAAAATTGTGTGTAAACCAAAAGTGATGGGAATTTTAAAACAGGTGGACATAGATCACTTTGTTCACCAATTCAATACCTGAAGTTACAAGGCTGTACACTTTTATATAAGAGAGGACTTCGAAAAGTTTGAGAAAGAGTTCCATTATCTTTCTATTCCATTTTCCATGAGCTTTTTGAAAGCCCATCATGTGTCTGTATGTGTGTAGATGTGTAGTGTATATAAACAAAATTCAGAACTCTCATCTACTATTCAAGAAACCCAGAAGTAAAAGATAATTGAATTTTTCCACAAACTTTTGAAATGCTTATGTATTCGAAATACATATATATGTATGTGGATAAATATACATGTGCATAGTTCATAACTATCTGCTTCAGAAAAATCCGGACTGCTTTTTGATTTTTCAGAACACATCATTCTTATATATATTACATTGATTTTAAAATATACATTACTACATATAATATGTTAAATGACTATTGTTTATTTTATATAAAAACAAACATACATTTTACATCAAATATGGATATATTAAAATATTAGCAGATATTAAGCACCTAGTCTACAATTAATAAAACAATAGATACATTTTTATATATTTATTAAGTCACTATAATTTTTGAATTGGGGAAAATTCTGAAGCTCTTTCGAAGTCCAAGTCTTCATGGGTAGATATTAAAATCTCGTGATTTAAATTGACCATTTAAATTCCATGTCTCAATTTCTCCATTGATACATCCATGCATTAATTGGGGAACAGTTTACCTGGACATCACAAAGTTACTCACTTTTTCCTCGTGCTCTCAAAGCACTTCATTGCCTGGCTTGCACATATTCAAGTCATACTTCCAACTTGTGCGGAAGTATGGGCACTCAGCCTCCTCTGTATGAGATGACTGGACAGGGCGTGTCTATCTCCATGCAGTAAGCCTGATTACATGTGATAGCACCTGAGCGAGATTCCATTTGTGGACCATTTCCCCTTTCTATAGAAATCATAGCTCTCATCTGCTCTTCAGAGGGATCACAGTGCCTTTTGATTTTCAGGACACATCATTTAGGATCCCTTCAGATGATATGCCATAAAAATACTAGAAATTCATTTCCTTAATGTCTGGATCGCTTGTTCAACTAGCAGACTCACGTGTTTTTCTAGGGAGTACCTGGCGTCTGATTTAGTATCACAAATTACTTATTTTAAAGACTGATATTGTTTTTCCCCCCCAGATTATGCCAAAAACCTTGAATCCACAGTGGAGGGAACAATTTGATTTTCATCTGTATGATGAAAGAGGAGGAGTCATTGATATCACTGCATGGGACAAAGACGCTGGCAAAAGGGATGATTTCATTGGCAGGTTAGTGTGTGTTTTCTTCACCTTAGAGAACCTAGGTTTTCTTAAACAAGGGCTCCTGCGAAGGCTGGTAATTGTCATAGACCTTCATTGATTTGAAGGAAGCCATCTCCCCAGGACAAAGGCAACGATGCTTAGATGGGCTGGTAAGTAGATGTGAGCACTGACCAGTAGATGGCAGTTTTGACCAGTGGCTGGACAGATGCTGGCCCAACTGGATAACCAGAACATTTCCCCAGATGTCAGAAATGTGCGTGAAAGTTCTGGGAGTTGAAAAAGAGGAATCCCATCTGATATTAAATCCATAGCTGAACAAAGGCCTTATTCATTGTCTGTAAAGTGATCCAAGATAATGTTTTTATAAAGCACATTGTGACCATAAAATGCATTATTTCCTGCAAACTAGAGACTCTTTCTAATCTCTTAAGAGTTCCCAAATCTGTGAGGCATTTCCAAGTTTGAGCGGAGGAAGCATGCTGAGTGAGGCACGCTAATCTGACACTGCAGTGAAGCAGGGGCTTCTGCAGCCTGCCTGACATGGAAGCGAGCCAAGGTCATTTGGAGTTGCTACTTGAATCCTATGCTTTTCTTATTTCAGATACTTTTTGAATTTTTGGGATAGTTCTTTTTGTGTCTTTGTATTAAAACCATTGAACCTTGACAAGGCAGAAATAAAGCATGGGTTTTCAGAAAACTCTCAGTTTAAGAATATCTTGCTTTATCATAGTGTCGATTATGTTCAAGTCTCTAAATATATAGCCTAAAGAAAAGACCAAGAATCCAACCCAACATATTTCCCGCTCCAATTTTTTTAATGATTTTGATCTATGTCTTAAGCAATGGTTTTCTTCATCGAATTATAAAGTGGGAGGTCAAAGATTAGCCCCAGTTAACCTTTAATATTTTACTTATAAAATAAAATTGAAAACACACCACTGTAATTTAATACTGTTACATCTGAATTCTCTTTAAAATACAGGTTTTCATTGTACTTTTTCCCTCAGTAAAACACTATTTTCCAGAGATATTAAAAATACTTTATTTTCTTTGGGGTATACAACTAGGTCAAGTATAAGTATACATCTGTAAGTATACTTAGTATGTTTTAATTTAAATGTATATTTAGTCTGTCTTCTTATGACTCTTTCAAGAGGCTGCTACTACTGAAATAGTTTTAAGAGTTTAAGAGTTACTGAAATCTCAAAGGTATGAGCTATATTTCTTATAGTTTACATTAGATTTTATATAGTGACATTAGGTTTATAGATTTTTATAGCAATATTAGATTTTATTTAGTGACAAGATGATCAGAATGATTAACACAAACAACTTATTACTTCAGCCTTGTTACCTACATTGAGATTTTCCTTAATTGATAAAATCATTACTGGCTTCTTAGACTCTTGGGCCTTTATTACATCAAGCCTTTCTTATGTTTACATTCTATATCAAATGAGGCCTCCATTTTCTACTGATTTTTGTTTTGTAATGACATATATCATTTGATGTATTCCTTTCTATCTTTGGAAATAATGGAAAGTTTCTCAACCTACATGGTAAATGCCTATTTCTCATATCATAAGACTATTCAATATTTAGGAGCATGGATTTAGTTGATAGAACTAGTTGGAATGAACATGGAGTGATTTCTTTCATGTTTCTTTGCTTCTGGGATTTGTCTACATTTTAGCACATTTTGAGAGGACAAAGATCTGACTAGAAAGAAGATGAGAGATATTGCTAGGTAACTGGGAGAGCTAAGAAATTCTTATGGGTTTTTGGAAAGAGTAGAAATCCATGTTCATAGGGATAACTGCTTATGAAAGCAATTTGACCCAAAAAGTTTAAAGTGCAGAAACAAAAGCACCGGTGTAGACTGCTAGAACACTTTTTTGACTATCTGTTAAAACAAGTTTATGTAATGAGAGGAAATATTACTGAATTTCCAGATAATCAACAATGAACAACAGAACCTTGTTGTACACTCCACTGATTGAACAAAGCTACCTGTTGCAGAAAAAGAAAATAATTGTTGTTGTGGTTAAGTATCTTCCAATCAATTCAGACTCGCGGAGCCCCTGTGCACAACAGAACGAAACACTGCCCAGTCCCGCACCATTCTCACCACTGTTCTGTGTATGTTGCTCTGTATCAATCCATCTTGTTGCTCTGCATTAATCCATCTGGTTCGGGGCCTGTCTCCACATCACCCAGCACAATGTCCTTCTCCAGGAATTCATCTCTCCTGACAATATTCCGAAGTATGTGAGATTAAGTCCGGCCAAACTTGCCTCTAAGAAGCATTCTGGCTATTTGTTCCTTTGCCAGTCCTTTGCCAATACTTTTAATATTCTTTGCCAACACCATGGTTCATATGCATAATTTAATCTTTTGTTTTCCTGATTCAGTATCCAACTTTCAAATGCGTATGAGATGGTAGGAAACACCATGGCTTTATTCAGATGCACCTTAGTCCTCAAAGTAACGTCCTTGCTCTTCAATACTCTGAAGAGGTCTTGTGCAGCAGATTTCCTAATGCAGCACCTCTTTTGATCTAGTCAGTGCTGCTGCCATGAGCATTGATTGTGGATCTGAGCAAGACAAAATCCTTGACATCTTCAAACTTTTGCCATTTATAAAGTTACCTATTCGTCCAGTTGTGAGGATTTGGATCTTCTTTACTTTGAGTGGTAATCCACACTAGCAGCCGAAATCCTTGATCTTCACCAGCCAGTGCTTCAAGTCCTCCTCATTTTCAACAAACAAGGTTGTATCTTCTGCACATTGAAGGTGGGTAATAAGGCTTTCTCCAATCCTGATGCCACATTCTTCTTCGAATAAGCCAGGTTCGCCGATGATTTGCTCAGCACACAGATTGAACAAGTGTGGTGAGAGGACACAACCTTGACAACACCGTTCATAATTTTAACCCATCAGTATCCCTTGTTCTGTTCACACAACTGCCTCTTGATGCCTGTACAAGTTCCTCAGAAATAGAAGGAAGTGTTCCAGAATGCCCATTCTTCTCAAGGTGATCCACAGTCTCTTATGGTCCACACAACTGAATGCCTTTGCATAGTTAATAAAAAACATATACACATATTTCTGGTAGGCTCTGCTTTGAACCAACATCTAAGACATCTGCAATGATATCCGTTGTTCCACATTTTCTTCTCAATCTGTCCAGAACCTCTGGCAGTTACTGTCAATGTAGTGCTACAGCTGCTGTTGAATGATCTTCCGAAAAGTCTTACTTGCACGCAATATCAATGATTTTGTTCTATAGTTTGAGCATTCTGTTGGGTCACCTTTTTTTGGAATGGGCACAAATATGGATTTCTTCCAATCATTTGGCCAAGTGCTGTCTTCCAAGTTCCTGGCATAAATAAGTGAGTGTTTCCAGTGTCTCATCAGCTTGTTGAAACATTTCGATCGGTATCCCATCCTGGATCCTTTTTTGTGGCTAACGCGGAGAGTGCGGCTTGAACGTCTTCCTTCAGCACTATTGGTCTTGCTCATATGCTACCTCCTGAAATGGTGGGATGTCAGCCAGTTCTTTTTGGTACTGGGGCTCTGTGTATTCTTTCCATTTTCTTCTGATGCTTCCTGCAGCATTCAATATTTTGGCCATAGAATCTTTCAAAACTTGAATTTTTTTCTTGAGTTCTTTCCATTGAAGATGTGCTGAGCCTGTTCTTCCCTTTGGATTTTCTAATTCTAAGCCTTTGCATATCTCATTATAATATTTCTCTTTGTCTTCTTGAACTGCTCTTTGAAATTTTCTATTGAGTTCTTTTTCTTCATCATTTCTTCCATTTATTTTAGCCACTCTGATTAAGAGCAAGTTTTAGTCTCTTCTGACATCCACTTTGATCTTCTCGTTCTTTCCTGTCTTTTTAATGACCTTTGGCTTTCTTCCTGAGCGATGGTCTTGCTGGCCTCCCACAGCTCATCAGGTCTCCTGTCATTAGGGTCCAATGCATCAAATCTGTTCTTGGAATGTTCTCAAAAGTCAGTGGGATAAACTCAAGGTCATATTTTGATTCTCGTGGATTTGTTTCCATTTTCTTCAACTTGAACTTGAACTTACATGTAAGCAATTGATGGTTGGTTCTATAGGAAACTCCTGGGCGAGTTTTAGCTGCTGCTATTGAGCTTCTCCAGCATCTCTTCCCACGGATGCAGTCAAATTGATTTCTGTGTGTTCCATCAGGAGAAGTCCATGTGGATGTCATCTGTCGTGTTGTTGAAAAAATGATTTTGCTATGAACAAGTCATTGGTCTTGCAAAATTCCAGCTTCGTTTTTATCAACAAGTCCATATTTTCCAACTATTGTTCCTTCTTCTTTGTTTACAACTTCTTCATTCCAATCACCAATGATTGCCAATGCATCTTGATTGCATAGTTGATTAATTTTCAACGGAGTCATTGGCTGAATTCTTCAGTTTTTTCATCACTATGTTTTGTGGTTGGTGCATACTAGTTGTATTGATTGGATTTGAATACTGGTGTTAGATTCCTCAGGTGGGAAATACCTTGGCCCTTGGCTTCACAAGAGAAAGAATTCACACCAAAGCCTGGTTTGTGATCCAAGTGAATTTTTTATAAAGGATAAAGGTTTTATAAAGCCCCCATGCCCAGGGCACTTCACATCCACACATGTTGACCTGAGGCCAGATAAACCATATACAGCTGAGAAGCAGCTGGCAGAGAGAATGGTGGGCTCCTGAGTCTGGCTTTTTAGCTCCCCCCATTTCCTCCCTCCCCTCCGAGATGTGGTCAACAGCACTGGTTGACTCCATTGGCTGAATTAAGCCCACCTGGCCTAGATTGGGGCCCACCCAGGTGTACTGGCTTCCTGGTTCAAGGACCTGAATTTGAGCATGCCCTCAGGCCTGAATTGGTTTCCAACTTCCTGGAAAGTGGGGTGAGGGAGGCAGGCCTTAGCATGTAGAGAGATAACCCCTGGTTTCTGCCTCTAGCTACTTAACACTAGTTGTAT